AATATAAATTATCACATTTATTTAATAATTAAAAAAATCTGCACACCTATAAAAATCAATTCGTTTACTTTTTTTTTCTAACATAGCCTTTGAAAAAAAAACTGCGGGATCGTATTGTTTCACACGATTTAGGGGGTTGCGTAAAAAAAATTAAATTTATCAACTGAAAACCGTTCAAATTGATTTACAAGTGATTCGTGAACAGAAAAAACCCGCCCCTTTAAGTAAAGATTTTTGGTGCAAAACACAGAGGCATATTTTAGGAAGAGGCTATTGATTCCCTGTATCTGTATTTAGTATACCGATTTAAAATACCTACTATGAGTTGCATCCTCGTGTGTTTAAAATTGTTTCGTATAAAACCACGACTAAATTATATCGTAACTGTACCACTTTTCGCAGCAGTATGAACGTATTTTAATCCTGAATATCGAGTCTTGAATACCTCTAAAAGAAAGACTACCTCTTGGCAACAAATTTCATAAACGTTCCACGATTCTTTAAATATTCAAATTGACGGACATTTTGGTATTGTGTGTGTTGCGGAATTGCCCGTCGAATTTAAAATAATTAATAAAAAACATTTCAATCAACCCGCGAGAACTAAAACAATATTCGATAATTGGACAAGACGCGATGCCCTTCAATCGCTGTTTCATCGGGGTATTCTTCTCGAGTTCAATTATTAACCTTATTTGTTCGTCTTATTTTAAGGGTTAGTATTAATTATTGGAGGCTTATCCGTGACGGCGGCAAGGTTTAAGTGATCTTCAACGTACGGGTGTACACACGAGAGCAATATAGGGACGAGAGGACAGGAAGGAGTGGGCGAATTAAAAGAACATTTTTGCCTCGGGGGATTATTTAGGCCTTTCGGAATAAATGTTACGGTTCTCCGGGCCAGAGACTGCTGCAGACTTTTGCGGTGTACGGCGGCGGGAATGTGTAGGGCGAGAGAATATAAGAGATAGAGACGTCGTATACGCGTTCTTAACCGGTATACTGCGTGTATATAATAGTATATCGGTCGTGGGAGTTGGGTGAGTTTGGGAGGAGGGGGGCAGTTAATCCCCCGGTCACACGCACAAAAGGAAAACGGCCATCTTTAATGAAAAACTTAAGAATAAGGCGTCAGGAATGCAGCTCTTAATTTTATTTTTACAATACCGGGCCTGGGATTAAAGCTCAACGTACCGTGTGTTACTTAACCGTGTCTTTTCCATTGTTGCAGCGGTGTGACTATATATATATATATATATTTACGAGAGGAGAGGGTGACGGGGAGAATTCGTTTTCGCGTCAGAAAATTCCACCCCGCCTGTCATATATACCGACGCGCGCTTTTTGGAAAACTAAGAAAACCTGCTCCTCTCCGATGTGCTGCTGCTTGTTTTTCCCGCCGCTTGCGCCGCGGTCTATTGTTTTTGCAGCAGTCGTGTTTTATTATTATTCATTAATTTACTAAGACATGATAAATTGACGATTCAGCCGGCGGCGGCGACGCGTACGAGGGGTGCTGCAGCGGTGGCGGCAGCGCAGCAGACACTAGAGAGATAGGTATTAAGTGGCGTCTAATGTCTGTATATTATATTGTATATGTAAACCCGGGGGGATTTGGGTGTATAAGTATAGCCGAAAATAAACCGCCGCCGCCGATGGTTTTTTTCGCTTGCTCTCCGATTGTTAAAAAAAGAAAAATTCCCTATCATAAGACAAGTATCGGCGGACGAGAACAAAAAAAAAAAAACATTATAATATATAAATACGCGCCTAAGTACGAGTATATATTATATATCGTTACACCCGTGCAATATGCGTGTTATATATGCAGCGCGCGGAGAGTGGGTATTGTTTTTCTTTGTCGACGACATGTGTTTTAGCCCGTCTTCTTTTGTCGCCGTGCATACGGGGGCCGTTGTAGTATTATTAATCGCGTCTAGGTGAACGGTCCGTGACACGTATTATTTTCATTAGGTATATATACAATATGTGTAACGTGTATACATTATACATACTGTGTACTATATACAGTCTGCTTGAGAAATTCCACATCAATCAAAATCGCATTGTGCACCGCAGCGCCCGTCGCCCGATACTTGACTTTTAAAATAATTAATTATACTTATATGCGTGTGTTTCTATTATGTTTCAGGTATGTACTGCAATATAAAAGAGTATTATACGAATATTTTGATTATATTATATAATAACGCTAATTCATCGCGGCGAACGGCAGGTAACCTTTGGTGTGCGAGAGTATGTTGGTGAGTTATTAAATTATAACTATATGACACGTGTTTTTTTTCTACCTTTTAACGACTTTTCTTCCAGAAATATTGCTCGGATTTTCAACTGTAGCGTCTTTTCCGAAAGATAATGTCGTCTGGTCGGTACGTTTAAAAGTTGTTTGATTTTCCTTACAGTTTCCTTAATAACCGGGAAAAACGGGAAAGATTTGGGTTTTTTTGTGATTCGGTTAAAAATAATGAAGTGGTAAAGCTTTCAAAATATTTTTGAGCTATTTATTAACATTCAAAATAATTGAGTTTTTTTTATAGTTTTTTATTTGGCTTTTTGCGGATAAAATTGTTTCAGCTAGAAACAGTAAAAACACACAAACACACCCATAAAAAAATAAAAACAAAAAACTTACACATTTTACATGAGGTTGGTAATCATAAGTTGTATTGGTGGTTAAAAGAAAGTTAAGAATAATGTAAGTTCGAATTTAGTCGAAAATCATAAAAACCATAGTGTTTCATAAGTTGTTTAACCGAATTTCAGAATCGTATATTTTTTATCTTTTCTCTAATGTACAATAGTAAAATAGGGGATAGCAAAATGTGTATTCAATGAATTTAAAGGTAACCATTGTGATTGTATGAAACTACCGGATTTCTACAACTAAAAATGTTGTTCGGAATCACAAATCAAGTATATGTGCCCATGTTAGACATTATAGGTAATCAAATGTTGAAGGGATATATTAAATTTTCGGAGAATACAGATTTACGCAACGTAATTTATTTTATAATTTTTTTTTTATAATATGTTCAATAGAAAATTTGACATTTTTCTTAATATATTTGTTCATAATATGTATTTATAGACAAATTAAAAATATACTTTAGATATTTATCATGTGTATGTACAGTTAAATATAGTTTATTATTTTGAAAGGTAATATTATTTGTCTACATATTGTCGAATCTTCTGTACGATGTACCAATATCTGAACACGTGTTGTATTTCCAACCTCGTTTGATATTATGTGTTCGCTTCGTCTTTGTACAACAATAACTGCAACGGTTGGCGGTTCAGCCACAACGAAAGATTTTCGTTATAACCTTTTATATACGTTATATTGGGCGAAATATTTTTTCCCTCGGTTTTTGCGGTCATTAATTTTCTATCAAAGTAAAACTCCGGGACCCAGAAATAACCCTTCCCCCTAAACCATCTCCCTTTTAGGTCAAGAGAGTAATTAGTAACATCCTTGGTTTCGTTCTTGAAACGGGCAACACTTGGCACCCAATCTCTAAGGGTAGTTTTTACCATAGAGAAGGAAGTGGTGTGTAGTGCGCGTGTGTGTGTATATTTTGTTTCTGTCTGTGAACATTTCACCACCTGTTTTCTGTCGTTCTTTCTCTCTTTTTTTTCATTAAACGCTCCGAGCCACTTACAATTTCATTTAGAGATCTAATAAAAAGGGGAGAGAAATTGAGACAGATGCGAAAAATCGTTTGGAATGTCGAGGTTTCTCGTTTTTAATGTTGCGAAGAGGTGAAAGATATGTATAATAATAATATGTCTTCGTTTGAAAAATCTACCTAAACAAATCAAACGCGCGGAGTGAGATATATCTGCCGGGGAGCAATTATAATATTTTCAACAGTCAAAACCAGAGGGCTTATTTAATCTCCATCCAATTAATAGCCTGCATTTAGCCTTTTTTATTATTTCTGACGTCGATTTTTTTTTTTTTAATTAATGATTAATATTAAGCCACGAGATCGTTAAAAGGATAGCCCGCGTGCCTGCAATAAACTTTGGCATTATATTTTATCATTTAGAAAAAACAAGTAAAAATTATTAAGTATATATGTATATAATATTAATATGTACGAGCATGATGTGGTACATTTTCGGCGGTGGGCACTCAATAAAACGCAGATGAGGTTGCTACTGCGTGATACAGTGAAACGAATCGGGGAGAAATGTCGTTTAATCCATACATTCGAGCCGAAATTGTAAAAAAAAAAAATCGGTAAACGCACGCTATGGTATATAATCGTGTCAATTCCGAGCTAATTATTAATTCGTTCTGATTCCCAAACTCGATTCGTTAATAACATTTAAATGCATATATTAGATAGATAAAGAGGTGAATACTGTAATATTATAAAATCGTAGTTTTTAAAAGTGAAACTTTTAATCCCTCATTAAAGTAGATCGGTACAAGTGAAATTATATTGTTCTATATTTGGGACAATAAACGTACTTAAACATATAATATACAGAGTATCGGTCGAATTTCCAAATTTGACGTCATTGTCAAATCATGACATATTTGAAGAAAAAAAAAACCTTAAGAGAACAAAAATTGAAATGTACTGTGGGTTCTCGTCAGATAGGTTCGTATTAGAAGCGATAGGTTTTTTTTTATTTTTACGACTGCTGGTCTGCGAAAAGTCGAGCAAAACGAAACGTTTTTAATATACTTAATGTGTATAATGTATATTGTATATTGAATTGGCCGATGTATTATTTTGAATTTCATATTTTATTTTGATGTGATTTAAATCAGTATATTTTACGTTTCAATCGTTTCATCAGATTACAGATCACATGCAGATTAAACAAGATAAACTCCGTGTGATATCAAATTGCCCTTTATTTTTATATTATGCATATTACTTAATTTATCTGTACACCGTATTGGTTTTATACACATACAGCGTATCATTGTTATCTCTCGACAACAATAATATTTTATTATGTATAGGTACTGGACAAAAAGTCCAAGGGTGGTCGAAACGCAATACATATTTCATAAAAGACACAGGTTTTTACTTTATTACTGTAGGAATAGGGTCCGTTGTAGGTCAAATCATAGAGATACCAAATAAACACGTGCGATTCGTTTGTTTCGAAAATGTCCACATGTGTTATGTCAGGATTTGACTCAGTTCTCACACGGCACACACGTTTATATAGGTTTGTATATACGTTATATTATATAATGTAGTTCTGAATAAAATCTAAGTGTATATCTTGTCGATTATTGATTTTCAGATACAAAACAAACAAAAAACATGTTATTATTACAATATAGTTTTAAGATAGGGTTAGGTATTTGTTTCCAAATTGTTTGTAATATTATGCTGTTTCATGTGAGATTCTGACCTTTTGAAAAAAAAAAAAAAAAAACTTTATAAATTACAATAATAACTATGAGTGCGTAACTAAAACAATTTTAATACGACATATAAAATATATTAACATGGGTTTTTTTTTTTATAGGTATTGTTTTATATTATATTATACGTATTTTCAGTAGACGTATCATTATATAATAAATAACCGAATGGGAAATCAGTTTAAGAATTAATAAAATAATATATTTTAAAATACGTTTAATTATATCTGATAATTTAAAAGTATATCTTCTTTGTTTGGGTTTATGAGGGATACTTTTGATTCGTTTTAAAAACTTTCGGCTTTAAAATATTATATTATTTAAATAACGGGACCGTTAATTTTGGGACGCGCGCGCGCGTATAAATTAAGTTTTTCAATTTCGAATAAACGGCTATATAGAATGGAGAGCATGCAGGAATGTATATAAGAGACAAAATTTCAACAACTGCAGTGGCTGGCGATGGCGGCGATGTTAGTGGTCGGTTTCTCTCGGAAATTTCGCGAAATAACTATAAACGAGAGAAGAGAAGAGGGGGGGGGAAGGAAAAAAAAAACAAAACGGACCCGAAACTTTTCAGACGCGCATTCGGTTTGTGCGTGCGCGATAGCGGCGCGGCAATATAAAGTGCTGCGGTACAGGGGTTTTATTCCGAAACCGAGGAGCAAAAGCATATAATTATCGTGAAAGTTCTTGTGCACACAATATACGTATATTATATAGCTAGAGAAGTCGTAGTCCGCAACAATCTGGTCCGGTTGATCTGAAAAAGAAAAAGAAAAAAAACAACAACAAAAAGGAAAGGAAAATGTAATTCAATAGACCCGGGCCAATTTCTGGTTTCTGCGCTGTGCGCGGTTCGAACGTCTATAAAACAAGATCGACCTATTGATACGTCGGGGTTTTTACGATCCGTCGCCTGTATATTATTATTACGGTCGTCCAATTTACCAGACGTAACCGCGCTCCACGCTGCTCTATATGTGAACGTATGTATTACACTCGTATATAATATCCCCGTCGCGGTTTCGCGTGAGGTCTCGGCGGCATCTCATCCCGTCGCGGAACGGCCGTCGCCGTCGTCGCCACCGTGTCCGCGCGCGCCGACCGAAAACCTCTTTTAAATACCCCCGGGAATCCGGCGAAGCCGGTCGGCCGGGTAAATTGTGTTTTTATCTCTCCGAGCGCGTACGTATACGCATACATGTAGACGCGAATTAATTGCCTGCGCGCGCCCGCGCGTTCCGTATCGCCGCGCCAACCCGCTGATCGTTTCGATATAGGTTTTTAAACGGCGATTCGCATTGTGCGTGTCCTGTTGCGGCGGCGCGCGCGCGTATTTTTCCCCGATCAAAGGCGACCCTTTTATATGTAACGTTACACTATATCGGAAGAAGACGGAGAAAAAAAAAAAAAGGAGCCAATTTTTTTTTTTCTCTCTTTTTCTTATACTCCCGTCGTCGTCGCTGGTGGCGGTTATTATTATTATATTTATATACGGCGATTCCGTCGCGTATATTATTATTATTATTATTATAATATACTCGCGACCGCATTTACATAATGGGATAACGTATTATATAATGATAATAATAATAATAATAATAATATGTGTGCGCGGCGCATAAGGAGGAAAAACTATCGCGCGCGCAGCAGCTCTCGCTCTTCTTTCTCTCCCTTCGCGCGGCGAGACTAAATAATAATTGAATAATTGTACACGGGGCCCAAAGGGTCAAACGATATTGTCGTTATACCAAAGTCGTTTGCACACACACACGCGCGTGCGCGCGCTCTCTCTTTCTCTCTGCACACACGAGATATAATAATAATAATATAATATTCAAATTTCCATACATCGTACCGTATACACCGCTACGATATTGCGCTCCGGAAAACTAACTCGAATTCCATCGCGTTTTATCGTATAATAATAATATAATATTATATATAAATATAAACTCAGCGAATATTTTCTAATATAGCATTACCAGTACGGTGTATAATACGAGATATGTGTTATATATACATATATATATATATATATATATATATATATATAGGATACCGCGGGGGTGATAAAATATTTTATTTTTGACCGAGAGAACTGTTTTCGTAATTTTTTTTTTTTTACTGAGATGCGTGAAACATCATTTTTTGGGTCTACAATATAGCATACAAAAATAATAGGTACAAACAGTTGAACGGTGACTATAATATCGGTGTAAATGCGGTATTAGGTGATTAAAATGCTCGGCGTTTTTCAAGTCATACCTTAAGAAGACGCGACATTTTTACCTGGATATTGAAACATGTTTGTATATGTTCACCACATAAATTTTTGTTTTGTTTTTTTCTAAAACACTCTTTTGTTTATTAATATTAAACTATCCGCGAAGCGCAAATCTTAAAATATACGAATATTTTGTCTGGTGCTACTATTACTATATTTGAACAATTTGTATAGATTCTCAAACAGTTTTTTTGAAAACGATACATTGGTTTATTTTTTTTTATACATATACCTGGGTTCCCTTGACTATGAGAGAAAAAAATAAATGCCATTAAAATACCATCATGTCCTCTTTCCAGTTTACCGAGCTCCGCTCAGAAGCTTGTTTTTATTCGCAGTAATTTATAGTTGTTTCAGTATGCAAATTAAATTATCAACTTATTGTATGAAATCATACACCTTGATTTTGTTGATTTCTTTTACATGGTATAAAATAAGAAAACCGACGAAACCACCCCTTCGGTGCGGGTGGAGCGTTACCCGTCGCCGGGCGGCCGCGCGCAAGTGTTATTCTCACCTGTGTCAGGTGGCGCGAACGGTTTAAACCACACCCCGTGACCTGGGGCCGGCCGTATACCACGATATGGGTTTGGCCAAGTCGTCTCGAGGGCGCGTCGAAGTGCGTGGGAAATGAATGGTTTATTTGAACATAAATAAAAGGAGAAAAAAAAATTTATTTTAAGTCGCGAACGACGAAGTTCTATTATATTTTAGTTAAAACATTCCCGTACAAATAAAAATAATATACAGAAATATGCGACAACGTGTTTACAAAAATATGTAGTATATTATACCTGCGCAAAATTCGTATAAAAGATTTTCAAACAAAATAAAATAATTATGTTAACATTATTATTTGTGTACATTCCCGAGTTGCGACACACCGCAGGATTTTCAATCGTTAAAGTTATTCAACACGATTTTGTTTTCGTCTTCTTTTTACTACCGGTACACGGTTAACTATACGGTTAACTACGAAAATAAATATTCTACTCGAACCCGCATTGTTACGTTTAAGTTGTTTATGTTAAGATAATTTATTGACAAAAGTATATTACAGATTTGTAGTCCAGCTGCAGCTCGATCGCCACGTGTATAATAATTTCTACTTAATTATGTTTCGGTAAATTATCGTTTTTTTTCTCGTATACTTTTCATACAACCTTCACCTAAAAATTATTCGTATTAAATACTGTTATAAACGAAAAGACCCTTTTTGTTAGCAGAAATTTATGTATCCTAGTGTCGAAAAAAGGTTGGTTTTTTAATTAATGCGAAAACTCGTGTTTTACACGGTTTAAATAATATAGTGTGTGTATGACGTCATCGCACATCGTCGCAATTTCTGCTTTCCGTTCAATCGGCTCGCAGTGACAGTTGCTTGGATATTCATCGTTGCGTTTTACTCGAATCGTAATCGTTAACGTTTGGATTATTACCAAAAAATATCATCACTCGGCTGTATTACAATAATAACACGATTTAAAAATAAATTATGTATTGATATATTTTATATTTTTACCGTTCTTTTAAACTTATCTGTAAGTATATCAATTATAAATAGTTTATGAAATCTGGATTTGAGTACCTGGACCGTAGAAAATGGATCCGTGTATAGAAATCCGCAAAAATCTAAACAGAACAAAAAAAAAAACGTTTATAATAGTGACCAATTTTCTTATTTTTGTCTTTACAAAATTAATCGGTACAGCTTTTTAATATCATTGAAGTAATATTTGACACAATCGAATATTGTAATAATATCTGTCTATCGGTATAACTTCAATTGAATATAATACAGTTTATTCATTTTATTATATGTATATTTCGAACAAAAATAGGAGACATTTTGTTTCCAACAAAGTGGACGAAATAATTTAGGTTTTGAGAAATGAATACTGCGTGGACAAAGTTAGGTGTGATAAAATATCCAATCGATTTTCTTTTGGAAAAATTAAACCTTCTATAGGCGTATGCACGGACAATTAATGAGTTATAATATTATATCTAGTTGGTAAATTTCTAATTGTTATTTCGGTTGTGATAATATTACAAAAACTTTTTCACGACTCCGCGCGTGAATCGATGACAACGATTTTGATCACATCGAAATTATTTTCAATATCACTACTGCGTACTATTTAACATAGATATACGAAACCAAAGTTTTTACATTTACATAAAATTTAAGTTTCTATACATATATGTATACAATTGTATTGTTTTATACAATAATATTTAAACGAGGCTTGCGTATTCGAAAATAACGATAATGGCGTTTACTATTATCCTAACTGTAACTATAAATAAGAATTTGAAATTCCTATTTATTTTGAACGACGTGGTGTAGGGGAGAGAGAATCAATTTTTATAGCATAATATATTTTTATTCTCAGCTATATTGCAATATTTCGAGTTTAGTCGAAAAGATACTCAAAAGTACCTGTTATGCAGCCTATAACAAATTGCAACTAGTATGTATGATATGTCGTATTCTTAATCGTTATTCTAAAGGTTATATTATACAAAATTGGTTGTCGAATTTAAAAATTTACATTAGGATTGATTACTGATATTGTATGCGGCATCTACCCTTATTTGGTTCTCTTGATATTGAAATGCAATGTTATTATATAATTCGATCTATGATTTTTCATAATTATGTTTATGTCAGGGTTGGATTACAGAAGCATTTTTTTATTTTACTTATTAGTATTTTGGTTCCTATACAAAATGTATAATTTTTCCCTGTATATCATATATATATAGTTAACTAAGGCTATGTATAAATAATGGATTATCTGCAAGAAATCAATATATATATATATATATATAGGTATAGTTAATCAAGAAAACATATATAAAAAGATAAATTTATATTTGCATAGAACGCGCACGTGTACATTTGTAGACAGTTCTAATTTTCTGTATAAATTGAGAAGAAAAATTGAATTTACTTTTAATACAATCTGGATACCGATTCGGATATACCTTTTTCGTAAAAATCCGGGAACCGATTCGGACGTACCGGTTCAAAACGCGCGACTGACGGACGCAATAAATAAATATTATTATTACTATGGACAAAAATAGAGCGAAGTAGAGGAGCCGTAAAATGAAAACGTTCTGCGAAATATCGTAAAATCTCGCGAAACTAAAAAGTTTTCGCGCAAACACACACACGCAACGCA